TTTAGTCCTTGAAGATACAACTTTATTTTTTTTTTTTTCATGATTATTTTTTTGTTATTATGAGTTTTTTTAATTTCCTTAAAAAGCTTATCTTAGGAAACTGGTTTCCTAAGATGAAATGATTGGGTGTGTTAAAGAAAACGCAATTTTTGGTACAATGATTTTTTTTATTAATGAATTATTTATTTATATTCTTTGAGAGGAAAGATGAAATTACCATTATTCCTAAAAAATATATATCTTTTTGTAATCTTTTGGGAGCAAAATACATTACACTGAAAACATAGTCAAATTACTCAATCTTCCCCTATACAAGAATTATTGTATGTTATGTTTTATAAACAAAGTTTTTGAAAGAAACCTTTTTCTTCAAAATCAGTTAATTATTTTACATTGTTTTTGGTTTTGTTTGAATTCGCAATTTATCTAGTGAGTTTCCTAAGTAAACAAAATAATGCCAGCTATATTTTAGTAATAAAGCTAAATAACTGTACCATTATTTAGTCATGTTTATTATTTAGTCAAATATCTTGATATATATAATTATTTTAATAACTATGTATTTAAAGATTGATAGATTATAAATATTTGTAAATCTTTGCTCATGAAAAAAAAAAGTGTGGAACACTCTGAGCTGTAAAGAATTGATGAAAAATTATTTATTAAGTACAAGAGAAAGTGTTTATTAGCTTACAAAAACAACAGTACAACATTTTTTTTTTTTTTTATGTGCCCTAAGAAATCCTTGCAGTCTTATTAACATGAAGTTCATATTGAATGTATACAAATTTTAAGATTTTCCATTTTATGTCAAATCTTTAAAAAAAAAGGAGGTATAATTTCAACAAAAACAGATTTTACAACTATGTTCTTTGTTAAATAAAGCGGTTACTAAAGTTTATAATGTTTAAACATTAGTTTCAACGTATTTGCAGTCCCTGAAATGAATGAATCCGGAATACTTTAAAATAGAAATAAAATGCTTTATTTATTTGTATATATAGAAAAAATATTTATAAAAATATTTAATTACATTTTAAATAGCAGTAGTACATACAATAAGAGCAATTTTTAAAAACTCAAACAAATTATTTATAATTGAAAACATTACGATTTTTGTTTATGAAAAAACAATTAATTGTTTTCAATAAACAAAAATTTTATTAACATGAATATTTTCCATAATTTAAAATTGAACACATTTATTTCTCATAATAATCATTGGCTAACTTAAATAACTTTATCAATGTATTGACTGATATAATAAGCGATTCAAGTGACGTAACGATCAATTATTTTTTTAAATATCGACTTTGTTTTGAGGCAAAAGTTACGAATGGCTGAAGTCCAACAGTTCGAATCAGAGATTTGTTAAAGAATTTAACTAGTAAATAAATAGCAAATAAATATCATTTGTGAATCATTTTCAGAATGTAGTAAAGGGTATAAAAATTCAAAAAAAAGGCCCTTCTAGGATAAATACCCATAGGCCCAAGCTGGGTTCCCGCATAGCCTCTGGCGCCAGCAAGCCACTGTAGGTCTCTCATAAGAGGTGACTATTTATCTGTCTGTTTAAGTAATTTCTAACCCATTAGACTCTTTCATTTATTAATCATTATTTATTTTTATTATAGAAGTTATTATTATATTTTTTATAGAAATTATTATCAGATTTTTTAAGCCCCCTGATGTATTATGAATACCCCCTTATATATATATATATATATATATATATATATATATATATATATATATATATATATATATATATATATATATATATATATATATATATATATATATATATATTATATATATATATATATATATATTTATTACATAATTATGTAAATTATGTTTAAAGTATCACTATTTAACAATAATACTGGATTTTAATAAGTTATTGGCCTACTATCTGTGCCCCTATCCAGGTTAAAAACCAGATCAGCATGGGAGCAATTAACCATATCTTTTATTTCTTAAGAAAACAACTTATAACCAGTTGCACTAATTAAATATACAACTAGGCAGATTGGGACGGGGACACTGGTTTCCAATAATGAGTTTAAACCTTGAAAATTAAAAAATAGAGTTATTTTAAAATGCTGTTATTTTTGCTGTGGGTACAACAAGTAAAAAATGTTTGCATTTTAAGACAGTTGGTTCTTATGGTCTTACTTGCTGCTAAGCTTAGATCAATACCAAGTGTTAGAAAAATCTATGAGCATCTCCAAATGGCTGAAAATGGGACTTTTTTTGCAAATGGACAATACATTTTAATATATATTAGTTTTAAATTGCAACCAGCGGCTTATATTTTGCCTATTTGTTACAGATAATAGTAGCTAATCAGGAAACTAAACTGTAAGGACTTGTTAATAAATAGGAAAATACTTCAGTTAACTTCAATTTGGCCTTTTTTTTAGCTCTTTTCAATTTTTTTTGGAAGTAGAGGAGGCTATAAGTTTTTTCTAATACGATACAAGTTAACAAAAACCAGTATTCTTAACAGAAAACTACCCAGAAAACACTTCTAGAAAAAATAAGGCACTTGTTGAAAGATAGAAAAAAGTTATGAGGCTTTAAAATAGTCTGTTTTAACAAATTTTAAATCATTGGGGGCCACTGCGCAGAGTTTATAAAGCTATATTTTCTAAACCATTGCGCTTGGAAGTCTGAAATTTTAAATTTAACCTATCTACATGATGTAGATAATGACATGTAAAATTATATATAATATATATATATATATATATATATATATATATATATATATATATATATATATATATTTATGTATATATATATATATTAGGGTGGGTCATAAATTTTTTTTTTCTTGTTACAGGCTCTAAACATTGCTAGAAAGTTGTTTTTTTTATGTACTAATTTAGGAAAGTATTTACTTTTATGAATTGAACAATATCTTACCACGCAACTATATTTACAAAAATTAGCAGGCCCTATTATTATTCAAAAAAAAAATTTTTTTGAATAATAATTTTTATATGAAAAATTAATAATAATAGGGCTTGAAAAAATATTATATGATATAAGTACTCAAATAAAGCAAAATTTTATTAAAGTTTCAAAAATAATAATTTTTTCATATAAAAATTATTATTTTAGATTTTATAGCATAATAACTATATTTTTAAATATAGTTATTATGCTTAATTAAATATATCCTATTTTCAACTTTTTTTATTATAACTAGTTTCAAACTAAAAATCTAAATCTGGCTCTTATTGGAACTCCTTTATTTTAGAAGCCCTAAATATTATTATTTGTTCTTCAAACATCAAATAGGTTTTAAATATGAGAAAAGGTTCAAACACAAATACCTATCAATTGCCACAGCAGGAAGCGGGTGCGATCGCACTCGATAACTGACCACGGAAATAATATTTAGTTGCGAAAAACTGGCCAGATTTTTTAGTCGTTTTGAGAACATTAAAAGTTTATATATGTTTCCTTGTTTGTCTGCAAAATAATAAGTTCATTTTGTCGTAAATTTAAAAATATTTTGTTTTACGGACTTACATGGAAACGTACATAAACTTAAATGTTCTAAAACATCTTAGTGCGGAAAAATAAAAAAGTAATATTCGCGAAAACTAAAATCCCGCCAAATCTACGAACAACTAATTCAATTGGTTTAAAAAATACTAACCAAAATTTCTAGAATATTTAAAAAACACTAACCGAATGTCCTGAGTATTCTGTTGAAATATTTAAAAAATTGAATTATTTGAACTTTGTTACGTTTACGTTGAGATTTCTAGCATAAATTATTTTAAGAATATACTATCAAAGGAACTATTATTCTAATTCTTGAAACCACATCTACAAATCTATAAATGTTTTGAACTAACATTTGTTTACAATAATAAATGTTTTAAATTTATATTTATTAACACGTCAACGCTTTGTAAATATGTTATAGATTTTATTAGTATATTCTAATTTTTTATATATAAGGGATGTATTTTTTATGTATGTTATGTATTTTTATGTATGTAATGTATTAAAATTATTAAGCCCACTTAATAAACATCATCAGCGGTATTGTGAAGCAGTTCCGCTTCCTTCTCTTAAAGTAATTTAACGTTTTTTGTTAATTTCTATCTAGCTAATTGAATTTCTATAGTAACTCAATGATTTAATTATTTCATTTGTTCATCTTATTAAGAAGAATCGTTTCAAATCTGTTAAACTTTTTAAACTTCGCGAAGCATAAAACAGTTATTAAAAAAACTTTTTTATTTATAAATAAATCATCTGGTTGAATCTTGTTGGACTTTTCAGTGTCGGGGGCTGCATTATTTTGGCGGCCTTTTTTATGTGTCACAGTGTAAAAATGACTTAAAAAAATACCGAATGGTTTTCTTGACTATTTCCCCTAACATTGTGAGTCCCGCGGCTAAAGCCCTACTACCCCCACCCCACTTCCTCAATCCAGCACTGGAAATAAGACATTAGTATATAAATAAAAATTATATATACTCTTTGTTAAATCAAAGAACATTTGTTTCTTTATAGTTGTTACTTTATACAAAAAATGTCGCTTTATTTTATAAAAAAAGTTATATAAGAGCGACGTTTCAAAAATAATTCCTCTTCGCGTTTTTTTGCGTTAAAAGCTATTTTTCTTTTTTTAACTGTCTCTTGTTGGTCTAGATAAATTTTACAACTAAATAATATTTCCGTGGTCAATTATCAAGTGCGATTGCACCCATTTCCCGACCAAGCCTGACCAAGGCAGCCAGAACCTAAATTTTAAAAGAAAAAATGAAATTTTAAAAAAGTTGGGGGGAGGAACACTCTTGCCCTTCTGCCCCCTGTTTTTATCCCAGTGTTTAGGATTATATGGTTATTATTTATTCTATATTTTTCAAATATTCTAATGGAAAGAATATTTATATCAAAGTGTGTACTAAAGTATAATAAATATTGAGAATGCCATAAAAATAAATAATTCATTGAAAACAAGAAAATACTTAGAAACTTCAAAACCATTTCCCAAAATTGCCCTTAATCCAATCAGTCTGGAATTTTTAGGATTGTCTTAAAATCATATATACAACAAATCCCAAAGTGAGCCAATATGATCTGAGAAAAAAAAGTATATTTTGGTAGTGGCTTAATATACAGGGCCTATTCTAGAAAATAAATTTGGACGACAGTACCAAAAACAGCAACAACAACAAGATATTTATTTTTATTAAAATTTACAATTACATAATTACAATAATATATTAATAATAATAATAATAATAATAATAATAATAATAATAATAATAATAATAATAATAACAACAATAACAACAATAATAACAATAATAGGAATAAGAATAACTATAATGTTATAAATAATAAAATAATAAGAATAAGAATATCTATAATATTATAAATAATAAAATCAAAATATAATTATTAAGAATAAATCGCCTATAATTAATAGCCTATGAATATTAATGCGCATAGTTACGCGTATTGTTTTATAGTTACGGTACGGTTCTGTATCTGTGAAATACACTTTTTAAGTAGTTTCTAGACTTTTCTTTACCGCGTGCTTACTTACAGATTTCCCTTCAACCTTTCATGGTACGAGTTCAAAATATCTAAATTGACATTAAGTAGATAATGTTTAGTAGCTTAAAATTATAGGTAATCTAAATTTTATCTTTTTTTTAAATTTAAAAGTAATTAATTTATTGTAATCTTTTTTAAATTGTAATTTTAAATTTAAAGCTTCGTGTTATAGATTACTTTAATTCTTAATTTGTGTCTAGCGTTAAAATATATTTATGGGTAGTTTCATGCTTTCACTTAGTTTTGGTTATTGGGATAAAAGCCATGACAACATTTTGTTATAAATTTATCTTAATTTAATTTTTATTGAAAATTTTGTTATAAATAAAATTTGTTTTTAATATTGTTAATACTTTAGCTCTTTGAAAAAAAATATGTTTCTGGCTCTTCAATAAATATAAAATTATTTGTCTTGCATGAATGAATTTTGGTTTAGGATTTAATTGTGTTAGTTTATGTTTGTCTATCTGTAATTTATTTAGGTTATTAGAAAACTCATGTTTACAGAGTTGTTATAAATCATAATCGAGTTGTTAAACCAAGGAAATTGTGGAGGTTTATTTATCATATATACTATATATATTATATAATTATATTGGAGGGAGTAAGTTTAGAAGTCTTTTTAAATTTTTAAAAAGAAATAAAAATACTTTTCAATATATATCTGTTTTCTTTGAGGTAGAATTAAAGTTTCAGTTTTTTAAAACTTTAAATTAACTTTACAATGTTAAAATGGTTTAAACGGATTTTTGTAAATGAATTTAATCCTCAAAGATTAAATTTTTTTTATTATTGAAGAAATTAAACTAGATTTAAGAATAAGTCGACTTAAATGTTTGTTTGTTTTTCTATTTAGATGATGACAATATTGAAGCAAGTAAGTTCAAAAGCATTTTTAAATTTTTAAAAAGAAATTTTTTCTTTGTTTTCTTTGAGGTAGATTTAAAGTTTCAGTTTTTTAAAATCATATATATTTTAAAATCCTATATATAACTCATATATCTTTGTTTTTCTATTTAGACGTTGGTAATAATATGAAACAGGTAAGTTATAAAGCATTTTAAAATTTTTAAAAAGAAATAAAAATACTTTTTATTATATATCTGTTTTCTTCGAGGTAGATTTAAAATTTCAGGTTTTTAAAATCATATATATTATAAGATTTTACAAATGAGTCGACTTGAATGTTTGTTTGTTTTTCTATTTAGACGTTGGTGATAATATCGAAACAAGTAAGTTATAAAGCATTTTTAAATTTTTAAAAAGAAATAAAAATACTTTTCAATATATATCTGTTTTCTTCGAGGTAGATTTAAAATTTCAGGTTTTTAAAATCATATATATTATAATATTAAATTCTTTTTTACTTTAAAAATATCTATATTATAGTTACACTGAGTCGTAGAAAAAAAATTAAAGTTTATTAATAAGGTAGTAGATTATTAGAGTAGATTAAATTGTTTGATCTATTAATCAACTTAATAACGTACTATTAATATGAAGATTTATTTTGGTTGTTTGTTTGTTAAAATTTAGTTAGAGTTTATTTAAAATTTAAATTCTTTAGTTAATCAAGAGAGATCTAATAAAGGTATTAATTACATTAGTTGAATGTGGCATTTAATATGTATTTTATCGATATAAGGAATAAAATAATAAGGAATAGAAAAATTTTAAAAATTTGCTCTGGAATTTGTCAAAAGAGTGTTGTGTTATGCTTCATTTTAAGGTATCTAAATATATATTCATTAAAAATTTTTAATTTTGTTTTTAAATGGTTTATTCTTTTTCACTACTTTAGATAAATATATACTGACTGACATAATTTCATTTTTATTAACAATGCTGTGCATTGTAGTCTGCATTCTTTGTTACATTAAAAATAATTGATGCTAATAAATGTTCTTTTATAGTTGTTAAAAGTTTGCATATATGTTTGCATTTATATTGTGATCAAAGTTAAAATTTTTTTGATAAATACGTGTATGTGGTGATACTACTCAGGCATCACCGCAGCTTATCTCTATCAGGTACATTGATTTTTAATTCACATATGATGTTTTTCTTTGTATTTACTTATTCATTACATTTTTAATTTCAGATTTATGGTGTATTTATTTGCTATAGAAGAACAAATCATTTTGAATTTTTTAAAAATATCTACACCAATCAACATTTAAAATTCAATGTAGCATATACCAGCTTCTAGGCTTTTTTGATGCTTTTCTTATTCAAGTGGTTTCATAAGCAAGGTCTACAAGCAAATTTGAGATAAAAAGTTTTTCAGCTTTCAAGGAGTATCAATGTTGTTCTCTGTATACTTTAATTTGTTTAAATAGAGTAGTTTTAGTAAATAAATGTTTGTTTGTTCTTGGTTTTTTACTTATTTGTTATCAGATTCTTAAGAATTAATCAACTTAGCAAGCAAGATTTATTTTATTTTTTAGTGCAATTGGAAAGAGCTAAAGTGCTTTTTAGTTACTTCAAATCATTTGTTTTTATTTTTTAAATAGAAGGGTTAATAATAAAAATATTTAGACAGTCGAACTGTTACTGATTTGAGTAAGTTTAATTTTTTGTTTAATTTTATATTAGATATATATTTTATGTATTTAACATGAAAAACTGACTGTAATTTTTGACAGGTAAGTTTATATACTTAAATGTGCCTATATATTGGAATATTTTATATTTCTCTAAATCTATATGAATATTATCTCAGAAAAAATTAAGAATAGAAAAAATTTGAACATATATACATACATATATATTACTTTAGACTGACATTGCTTCATTTTTTATACAAGATTCTGCATTTATTATTTTTGTGCATTAAGATTGTGCCTGAAGGCTTTCTTAATTTAGCAAAGAATTTAGAACACAATGCAAATAACTTTGCACTGTGTTCTAAATTCTTTGCTAAATTAAAATAATGTAAATAAATTTTGTTTTATATTTTTCAGTTGTAAAAATATAAAACGTTCATTTATTCAGTTGTAACAGTAGCATAACCACTGGTAATATATATTTAATGATAACAGATTTACAATATTAGGCTCGAAGAAGTTATTAGTGTAAATGGTTATAGGTGACTTGAAATTGTTGTCATATGAAAGAAATAGATCTAGGCATGATAAAATTAATTGTCGTTGAAATATAAGAAATTTTGCTTGATGAACCAAAAACTTACTTGGCAGAATTCAGTGTCAAGCGCTGTTGATGTCTATTATTTGACTTTACATTAGACACTTTAAAATAAAGCAAAGTATGAATTTTACTATTTATAGTAACAAATAATAAAAATTTCAGTTTTAAATGATTTTTTTTTTTTTTTTTTTTTTTACTTTTGTAATCTTAATATAATTGTTCATTTTTTTTTTAGTTGTCTTTGTCATCACTTGATTATTTTGCTTACTGTTGAAACATGGTTTTAATTTTGTAAATTTAATATGATGTGAAATTTACAATATTAATCATTTGTCAACAGTTAGAAGCTGGAAATAAATTAAGAAATGCTGGAAATTAACTTTTAGTTAAGGTAAAAATAATTTTGTTTATTGGTAGCATAATAAAACCAGTTACTGTTATTTATTGCATGACTTTTTTACTTTTTCTAACATGGTGTTTTCAAAACACTTCCTCTCTCTATTAGATGAGACTTAAATAAGAATTAGTATTGAGAATTGTAGAGAGAGAATTGATTGGGGGGTCGTATGGGTTGAATGGGCGGTCGTAACTAAAAACCTTTAAAAATATGGAGAATATTGTAGTTTTGCGCATTAATATTGAGTTACTTAAGTTTTATTTATGTGTTTAACTAATTAGTTAGCTTAGTCTGTATTTGCAACACTTTTGAGGAAAGAAAGAAAATATTTTTATATAAGTAGATCATTGTTTTACATTTTAATATTTTATTTTATTCACCAGGCCACCATTAAAGCAAAAAGAGGGAAGGAACCTCTTTATTAGAGCCAAAATATTTAGAAAAATTAAATTTCGAGTTACAAAAGGAATTTTTAGTAAATGGTGGCAAATTACCGTTTACTAAAAATTTTATGAAATAAAGAGGCCAAATAAATAATATACAAATGGTCTGTGTTGAACAGACTTAACAAGACCCGGGTCGGGTCAGCTTGGTTTACAAATTTTTATGTCTACTTATCTCTTATAATTTTTATTTTAGTTTGTTCTACGATGCATTAATGTATTAAAAAATTTGTTATACCTATGTTTGATCGTAAATTAAATTTTCTTTTGTTTGAAAGGTATTTGTACTCAGTTGCGTAGTATAATAAACTTTGTTATTTTTTATAAATTTATTTAAACGTGTGCATTTAATATTTTTAAGTTAACAATTTTCTTTTCTAAAGAACAATTAATCAAGGGGATAACAAAAAATTGATAACTCCTGTATAATATAAGTTAACTTCATTTTAATCTTAATGGTTCGTGTTATAAAAATTATTTTAAGAATTTAGTTGACACTTTCGTCAATTTAAAGTATACCCAAGTGTTATTATTTTGCGTCAGTAACTAAAAACGTATTGTGTTAAACTTAGGAAGGTCGATGAAAATGGTTCTGCCTTACACTGTTATGACCTGTGCCATTTGTAAATTACTTAATAATGTTAAGTAGTAGTTGGTAAATTATTTTACCTCCTCATAATTTTTATGTTAATTTTACAGATGGATTAATTTTTTCAAGCTGAAGGCAATTTTCTAAAAGGGTATTAGTTAAGGTTTTGCAAGATTAAATTGTGGAAAACAGCTACTATAAATTAATTATGTAACAGACCGACCAAAACCCGTATTACGGGTTGCCTTTTGCTAGTATAAATAATTGATTGAGGAAAAAGTCACTCATGCAGAATTCTGATCAAAGGAGTGACACCAAATAATTATATGAATTTAAATTAATATTTGTATTAAGAATTAATTTAAAAAGTAATAATAACAATAAAAACTTAATTCATTAATAGAGTAAAAGTAACAGCAAAAACAATAGTATTTATAATAATTGTAATAATAATAGTAATAATAAAAACAGCAGTAATAAAAGTAATAAATATTAAAGACAAAAATAATAAAGTTACTATAGAAATATAATAAGGATATAAACGTTTATTATTAATTTTAATTTTAGTTATATGATTATTGTATAAAAGTTTTTGTCTTGGAGATAAAAAAAAATATTAGTTTAGTTTTTTCCAAGTTCAGAGAAATTAGGTTTGCATTTAGCCAATGAAATAAACCTTTTAGGTCTAAGGTTATATTTTTACACAAAGAATGATGAGACTTATTAATATGCAAGATATTAGCAAGACAGGACAGAGTTATTTAGATCATTAATATAAATCAGAAACAATAAAGGGCCAAGAACAGAATCCTGAGGAACACCACAAATTATATGTTTGTTATTTGATTTGTATTTGATGCAAACAAACCGCTTTCGATTTGAAAGATAAGATTTAAACCAGTTACAAGAAACTCCTTGGATTCCGTAATGTTCAAGTTTAAAAATTAAAATGGTATTGAACGCTTTTTGCAAGTTGAAAAAAACACCACCTACAAATGACCAGGATCAAGTGCCTTTTTTATTTTTTCGGTTATACTTATTCAAGCGTGGCAAGTAGAGTGTTTTGATTGAAATACAAACTGAAACTCATTTAAACAGTTAAAGGAATTCAAAAATGAGTATAATCTAGAGTTCATAAGTTTTTCAGCTTGCTAATGTTACAAAGAATTGAAATTGGGCTATAGTTAGTACATGAGAGTTTTGAACCATTTTGATATACTGGAATGACACAAGATAATTTCAAAATATCAGGAAAAATTCCATTAAAGAAAGAGATATTAAATAGCTTACCCCCTAATTCCGGCAAACTTTAGAGGAAAATCGGCGGTTTTTTCGCAAAAATAGCATAACAAATATAAAAAAATCCTCAAATTTTAATTTAGGCAGCACCCAAATTGGCACCCAAATAAACTTTATTTATAAATAATATTTATACCTTATTCATTATAATTATGTATAACATGTTTTTATTATCATAATCATGCATAAATATACGTACCCCAATTCTTTACTGAATCTCTTTGAACACTAGTAGAAAACCAAGCACAATAATTATTGAACAAAGCTTGGTTCTCTGGCTGCATCATTTTTTATCATTGTTTATCTAGACATAAAAATGTGTTTTAAAGTGCATGTGTGTGTGTGTTTATATATATATATATATACATATATATATATATATATATATATATATATATATATATATATATATATATATATATATATATATATATATATATATATATATACTTAATTTAAACTATTTTATTTTACTTTGGGAATCAAGTTTCTTAGATATAGGTAGTATTGCAAAACCTCTATGCATTATTTACTCTAAACCTCATTTCGAAATTAATTCATTTGAGCTCAGATTCCCTCCACAAGCTGGCTGTTGTGTAATGTCTCAATTGGTAAGGCCATGGAACCTTGCAGGATTTACTATCATAACCTTAAAAAATATCAGGTAAATTATGAACTCAAAATTTATCAATTATTTATTTTTATCTTTATTTTAAATATTGAAAAAATTTTGTATTTTCAAGAAAGATTGATAAAATGGTGAACAACTATTACAAGTTAAAGAAGAACGGCCCAACAAATACAAAAAGGAAAGAGGAATTTTTTTGAAGAAATGTTAAAATGCTTTTGGATTAGTAAAAAAACAGAACTAATTAAGGGTATTATGAAGGACAGGAGAAAGACATCTAAAGCCAAAAATGAAGATATTGCGTTTATCTTAGACCAACTTGGAAATAGGATGGGAAGATTAGGAACAAATGATAAAAGGTTTACATACACTATTAAGAGATACCACAAAAAATTCCATGTTAAACATGAAAATTAAACTAAACAATGGTAACAATCTATACAGTTTAGAAAACTCTTCAAGTAGTGATAATAATTCTAAGAATATGTAGCAGATATAAAAAAGAAACAATTTACCTTTCATTTAGACAACACACTGCAATAGTGACAAGTGTTATTGCTAATCAGGAGGTGATGTTACTAATTTTGCAATATTTTCATCAAATGCATTTAGAGTTGCAGAGGAAGTGGTAACTAAAGAAGGAAAAAAGATTAAAAAACACACTACTAATCTTGTTAAATCTTGATCATTACCAATTATTCTCCATTTTGATGGAAAAAGAGTTAAGGAGTTCACAAACGGAATAGAACATCAACTTTATAAACTTGCTGTTTCCATCAGGATAGATGGACAGAGTGAGCTTCTTGGGATTCCTCATTTGAACTCTTGTACTTGTGAAACACAGAAGAATACAATCATAAAACTTCTTAATCAATTTGATATTTTTGATAAATTACAAGGATGCGTTTTTGATACAAATTCTCTAAATACTGGTAATAAAAAAAAATGTATGCATTAGATTAGCTGCAGAGCTTGGTAGACCTATACTTTTCCTAGCATGTAGGCATCACATCTATAAAAAGCATATTATTCAATGCTGGAACATATATCCGAGCAGTAAAATAAATGGTCCAGATAATCCATTGTTTAAGAAGCTTAAAGATGTATGGAACTCAATTGATCAAATTTTTATTGTGTTTAAGTAAGTAAAAAGTGAAGAGATTTCTTGTAGCTCGCTGCAGGTACAGTTCAAGGTAGACTCAATTTTGTAGAAAGATTAGAAAAATTAAATCAGTTGCTCCAAATCGTTCAAAATTTACAAAATTTTCATATTCCACCTGATATATGTACTTAGCTCATAATTTTTGTCGTAGGGCTTTGCTAGTAAATTAAAGTTTTGGAACAAAGATTAATTTTTTAGTCTTAAATGCAATTAAGGCTAGGTATTAGCAAAATATTTGCTAATGTAAAAATCAGTTAACTGAAGAGTTGAAAATTTTAAATAACAAGTGTCCAGTGCAGCTATATAGTCAGTCTTGAAAATTATGAAATGGATTGTTTTATCCATAAGCCAGAAGATAGTAAAGATTATGTTGCTATAAGGTAAAACCCTATTACTAAAGCTAATGGTGTTATATATTTCTAGCTAGATAATAATATAAACTGATCTTGTTTTATATATTTTTTTTATTTATATTTACTTATCGTTTAAACTTTATTAATCCTAAAAATGAAAAAAATAAAAAACCATTCTCTGACGTTTCTTTTACAGAAAAAGTTAATTCTGCAAAACCTGTCAAAATCCAATCTAAAATTAACTTGAAAAAAGAAAATGCTTTTATAGAGTTGCCTTTTGAACTTTATGTAGATAGATCTAAAATATTTGAGTGATTAGATTCCAATTCAGTTAGTATTCCTTTATATAAAGACTCAAATACTTTATATGATGTTTCAACATATCTAACCCATGGTTAACTTTTAACTGCTACCAAAGACGATGCAATTTTGTTAGACATGGCAAACAAGGTATTTTGTATTAAATCTATATTTGTTTTTCCAATATCTATTTAATAGATATTTAATTGACTATTAATACCAAAAAGTCATTTAAAATTAAATGACTTAGCTAAGGTAGAGGCCAAGGATATAATGGTACAGGATTTATGGGAGGTGAATATAAAGGAGTTGCTTTTGGAATAAAAGCTCTTAATCCTATTCACATATATATATATATATATATATATATATATATATATATATATATATATATATATATATATATATATATATATATATATATATATATATATATATATATATATATATATACATATATATATATATATACATATATATATATATATATATAGATATATATATATATATACATATATATATATATATATATATATATATATATATATATATATATATATATATATATATATATATATATATATATATATATATATATATATATATATATATATATATATATATATATATATATATATATATATATATATATATATATATATATATATATATATATATATATATATATATATATATATGTATATATATATATATATATATATATATATATATATGTATATATATATATATATATGTATATATATATATATATATATATATATATATATATATATATATATATATATATATATACATATATATATATATATATATATATATATATATATATATATATATATATATATATATATATATATATATATATATATATATATATATATATATATATATATATATATATATATATATATATATATATATATATATATATATATATATATATATATATATATATATATATATATATATATATATATATATATATATATATATATATATATAAAAAGTATATATATATATATATATATATATATATATATATATATATATATATATATATATAAAGTATATATATATATATATATATATATATATATATATATATATATATATATATATATATATATATATATATATATATATATATATATATATATATGAAAGCTCTTTGACAGATAGTGAGATACTCAAAAATCAATCCTATCCAGGCAAAACCTGTTATAGAGACACACCTGGTACATAGACCTAAATATTTTAGTTATGTCTCTTGTTGACAAAAATGTATAAGAATGGAGTGACATTGCCAAGAAGTTGTACTCAACCCCAAGACTTACAACCTATGCTATAGAGAGATATTAAGTTAATTTAAATATACTAAACTACCCAATGCCTAATTATGATAATCCTCCAAGTTTGAACCCGCTTATAACTGACCAGGGTTGGTTAATTTTTCATATCTTAAACCATGCAAATGCTAAAGTACAGTGGCCTAAGACTTTATCTGAGACATGTGATCTAAATGACTATTACCTAGAATTCAAACAATTTGTGAATAATCTTGAAGTAGGAAATAAATGTAGTGAAAGGGCTATAAAACTAGTTTAGGTATCTATTTTTTATGTTTGGACTTTACTGTTTATAGTAAAAATCTCAATTTATTTCACGAGCTTATTACTTTTAAATATTCTTTAATAGGAGTTGATCAATATATCGAACAATGAGGATAAAGTACCTTCCTTGTATCAAACAAATATGAGTGAAAGAACAATTTAGAAAAATCTGATCATATAAAGAATTCTTTGTTTACAAAATAAATTTATAAACATGAACTACGCTTGACAACTATTTACTTCAGAAACTAATCATAAATATCATTTTATTATGTAAGTATAAATATTTTAATATGTAAAGTATCTTGTTAACAAGCAGAACACTAATATAGTGCAAAAAAGCCTAAAAATGCCTTTTTTTAAATTTTTTGATCTTCATTGTTCAAGTAAAAAAAAAATTAAGCTGAACATTATAAATTTATTTTCTTCAAAAAGATAAAACAACAAAATTAAAAAAAAAATTAATTTGGATAATGGTAACACTTTTAACTAACTAACCCCTCAGTTAGTCCGAAATAAGGGGGAAAAACAGGCAAAAAATGGAAAAATAATCACGTGAGCATGCACAGTTTTCTTTCGGACAAATGAAAACATTTATTACGCATGCTCAAGTGATTATTTTTTTCTTTCCTATCCCATTTCCGCAGAAAAACAGATAAGTGGAAACTCGCCTTAACAGTCATAGGTTGTGGCTGCGTAGATTGTAGTGGGAGATTGAGGGCAAGAACAGAAGAAGTCAACCTTTTCGATTCCATGTGTGATTTTATATTGTTGAATTAAGTCTCCGGGTTTCCTTCTTACTTCTAAAGTTGTTAAGCTGAGTGTATGGAACCTTTCTGGGTCGGGAAGATGTTTTAGTTTGGTTATTGCTTTGGTTGCTCTGTGTTGAATTTGCTCGAATTGTTTTATGTTGCTTTGAAGGTAAAGAGACCACATCTGGACTGCAAACTCAAGATGAAGAAGACTTTCCAGAGCTGTTTCCCTCAGCTTCTGAATGACTTTTTGAATTTTCCCAGCATCATATTGGCTCTAGTTGCAGCGCATTTGACTTTGAGGTCATCTGATACCAGCACTCCGAGGTTTCTTTCTGCAGTAGTGACTTCGAATTAGTGTCGAGAGCCGTCTTCTTTAGATATGTAGTTGTGCATTGATTTATTGCTTTTTTTCCTGTGTGTATAACATTGCATTTGTTGATGTTGAAAAGCATAAGCCACTTCTCGGATCATTTAACCGCCTTGTCGACATTGTTTTGTAGGGAAGCAGCGTCTTCGTTTGTTTTTATAAGGCCCATGATCTCGCTGTTGTCTGCGTATATTTTGGTGCGGTGAGCAATAACGCCAGGGAGGTCGTTGATGTAGAGGAGAAATAGTAGAGGACCAAGTACAGAGCCTTGTGGTACACCGCTTGTGACGCTTTTGAAGTCAGATTTGTGGTTCCAATTACACTGTTGGCTAGCCAGGCTTTGATCAAATCGACTTGAAAGCCACTTATACCATAAACCTTGAGCTTGTAGATTAGACGACGATAAGGTAATTTGTCGAAGGCTTAGGCAAAGTCTGCGTTTTGGTGTGCGGCTTCGGGCAAGATGTCTCTCGCTTCCAGTAGGTTTGTGATGCATCCTCTTTTGCTCATAAAACCATGTTATGCCCTGGTTATGAGATCATTCTTGTTGCAGAAATGAATTATTTGGTCGTGTATGATGCTTTCAAGGATTTTGCAAGGTACTGATGTTAGTGATACCAATCAATAGTTAGAAACTTTGCTTCTGCTCTTTTTCTTAAAGATCAGCATGACATTCAAGCGGCACTAGAGACTGGGAACTATGCTGTCTTTAAGCGACTCACGGTAAACGAACGTAAGTAGTGACTCGCTTGTCAGTAGTGGGCATTAGGTCATCGGCTGGTTCTAAAGTTAAAACTGATTGAAAGTAATTATTAAAGATGCTTGCTATTACTTTTCTGACTATATTGATCTGGCCATTTTCATTTTCAAATGATCGGAGGATGTTCTTATCTTTCTGTTTATGCTTTACGTAGTTGTGTTGGTGTTTTGGGTCGGCTTTGAACCCGCTCCTGATGTCTCTCTCATAATTTGCCAATCATGTCTGGACGCTGTTGCGTATATTCACAGTAGCCCAGTGGTAGCGTTTTAGTTTGACTGCTTCAGACTTGGGGCGTGGCCCAGCGCTCTTTATTCTCCACATAAGGGATACAAGTAACGGAAATGAACCGTTTGACCGCCTCGTTGTACTTGTTGACAAGCACTGTTTACGTGTCTTCTGCTGAGAGCCCGTCAAAAATGGTTTGCCAGTCAGATGTCGTAATGTGGCGTGATATGCCTTCATAGTCAGCTTTGTTCCACAGATGTTTAAGTGAGTTAAGTTGTTGTTTGTCAGTACTGTTTAGGCCAAAACTGTCTTTGATGAGACAGTGTTGGCCACCTTGTTCAGTGTAGCTGTAGGCTTCATCTGGTTAGAGCTCAAGAATTCGGTCTGGTTCGTAGGTTATGATGAAGTCAAGTATGTTTGTAGGCGGGTTAATTCTTGAATTCCTAAATGTTGGAAATGTTACAACTTAGGTTAGATGCGATTCTTCAAGGTAAAAGTGGAATTTCTCATCCGCTGAGTGCTCATTTTTGATGTTAGTAGTGGTTGCAAAAAAAAAAAAACATTTTAAAACTCTGTAAAAATATAAGCGAATTAAAGCTTAAAGGGACTACCAAGTCCCAAGACACGTTAAAAAGAATGTTAAAAAAAAACGTCTGAGCAAACTTTTTTTGATTAAAACTAATTAATAAATGTATACCATGAAAAACAAACCTAGTTGTTTTAGTCGAAGCTCGTTTTCTCGATTTTCTGCGGTATTTTGAGTATGTAAAATTAACGCGATTTTCCAGGCGCATTATACAGACTTGATAATTTATTCAAGCGCGTTTAATTCATAGAAGTTTTAGTGCATGACGTCATTGGAAACATTCTAGAAATTCTTTAAAAACTTTACTATTAAATTTTACTAAAATAGCTAACTATAGTTACTTATTCTATTAAAAGTTTATTTTGTTAATTGTTTGTTAGTTTTTTACAACTCTAATGAACAATTAATTAAACCAAGCACTAAGAAAAGATATAAAAATTAAGAATATGCTAATAAAATATGTAACTTGTAACTAACTTTCAAAACTTTGACAATACTCTTTTTAATTTACATTAACGATCTTCCAGATATTCTCACATCTAAGGTGGCATTGTTCGCTGATGATACTACCATTTATTCTTGTCACGATAAGAAGCCAACTCCCTCTGATTGCTTGCAGGGGGCATCTGAGCTCGAAAAGGATCTCACTTCTGCTACAGCATGGGACTCGCATTGGCTGATGAACTTTAATTCAGATAAAACTCGATATTTTTCAGCCAATTGTTATTGCAATAATTTAGACCTTCCTACATTTATAAACGGTAATGTACTCGACGAGTCATCTACCCTTTGTCTTCTAGGATTAACTCTTACTTCTGATCTTTTTTGGAAACCATATATCAAATCTGTTGCAAAATTAGCATCTGCTAAAGTTGCTTCTCTTTATCGAGCTCTTCACTTTCTTACTCTGGATTCTATTCTCTATCTCTATAAATCTCAAATCCGGCCTTGTATGGAATACTGTTGCCATATCTGGGGCAGATCTTCTTATGATGCCCTTTCTCTTTTAGACAAGGTGCAAAAACGCATTGTAAACATAGTTGGACCTGCTCTTGCAGCCAACCTTCAACCTCTGTCACATCGTCGTAATGTTGCTTCTCTTTCTCTTTTCTACAAATACTATAATGGGCACTGCTCTAAAGAGCTAGCGTCTCTTGTGCCATCTACTAAAATTCATTCTCGTGTTACTCGTCATTTAATTAAGTCTCATCCTTTCTCTGTTACTGTTCCTAAGTGCTCCAAAAACTCTTATTCGTCTAGTTTTTTCCCTTGAACATCAGTTCTTTGGAATTCGCTTCCTTCATCTTGCTTTCCTGATTCATATAATTTGCAATATTTTAAGTCGTCTGTCAATCGTTTTCTTGCTCTACAATATTCATCTTTTCTCTTCCAGTAACTTCCAACACTAATTAGTGGTTGCTTGCAACCTTGTTGGAAGCGAAGATAATTAAAAAAAAAAAAAAAAAAATTTAAAAAATATATATTATAAAACATTTATTTTTGTAAACAAATAATAATAGTTTAAAGATTTACGGCTTTACAGATGTGGCTCCGAGAATGAGCCATAATATTAAAGTATAACAATATATTCTTAAAAAAATTTATGTAAATAATACTATTCCTAAAACATTTCAACAGAATACTCTAGAACTTTATTTTGCTTAGTCATTGTATCTTTTGAACCAATAGAATTAGTTTGTTTGCAAATTTGGCGGGTTTTTAGTGCTCGCGAATATTCTTTTTATTTTTTCGCAAGATTTTTTAAGAATATTCAAGTTGATTATGTTTCCATGTATGTCCGTAAAATAAAAATTAATAAATAATATTTTAATTTTTAAGCCCACCTCCATATTATATATTGGATGTTATAATGGAAATATAAATAATGAAATAAGATCACCTCAATACCAAAAACTACATTTTTAAAAATCAGAGAAAAAATGCGTTAATAACTTTTTTTTTAATATCTACAAAGTAAATTAATAAAAGTGCATTATTATTTAGGTTAAAAATTATTTTATCTAATATTTAGAAAGAAAAACTTATGACAAAAGAAATCAAAATAGACGTGGTCTAGACAATTATTAAAAAAAAGTTGCGCAAATAAAATACTATTTTGTTTATTATTTTTTTAGAACTTTAAAATATAATAAAAATGAATATGATTTGGAAATTGTATGTAAAAAATAGCAATTGGTGTTTTAAACAAACAAAAAAAATCTATGACATCATGCACTAAAACTCCTATGAATTAAACGCGCTTGAATAAATTATCAAGTCTGTATAATGCGCCTGGAAAATCACGTTTATTTAACATACTCAAAATACCGCAGAAAATGGAGAAGACGAGCTTTGACTAAAACAACAAGATTTGTTTTTCTTGGTATACATTTATTAAATAGTTTTAATCAAAAAAAATTTGCTCCAACGTTTTTTTTTTAACATTCTCTTTAATATGAACACAACATGTCTCGGGACTTGGAAGTCCCTTTACATAAAATTTTAGTTATAACTATTTTTATAATAATAATATATAAATAAAGATATATATAATATAATATAAGTATAGGTATATATAAGAATTATATTTTAAATGTATTTATAAAATTTAGAAATAACATTCAAGTATCGGATCGATGTTTAAATTATCAGAACCAATTGAAGTATTTTAAGTTACTCATTAATAGCCGATGGTGAGGGAGCACTTGCTGTAGCTAGCTCTTTAAAACCACTTTTTCTTTTTTAATGGAGTAGGTTTTGGAGTAGTTTCTGAAGCTTCTCCAAGCTCATCACACTCTCTACATTATTATGAACTCTCTACATTATTGCTTGTCTTGAGAGAAATATAGTCATCCATTTTATTTGACTATTTTATCACTCAGAAAAAGAACCTGCCTGATTGTTGGGTAATAGAACTTGAACCTTTATGCAGCAAAATGTCTTTGCCAAAAACCTGGCTGTGAAATATCTCCATTTTTGTTAGTTTTTACCTAATGGTCTGATATTTTTCCGCAAGTTCACAATAATCTCCGCAATTCTCAAAAATAATAATAATTGTAAACAACTTTAAAATTCAATTAGTAACTTATATATATTGTTTTTGCATAAAGTTATTTTAAAGTGATATAATTTTATCCTTACCTTAATATTTTTTAACAGTTTATGAACAATCAGGTTCATACAAGTTTTGGGCACCAATAGAGCCTGTTACTCCAAACAGGTGTCCTTAAAACTTTGGTGATTAAATTGCAAAAACACCCTCTCATAATTTGCATCAACATCATCCCAGCTCTGACTCAGATATTTAAATAGTTTATTCTTCGGCTAGAATAATGAGCAGCGATGAAATTTAGCTAACTTTGCATAAATCCCTTTTAAATACTTTTAAAAAGTGGCGCGAGTATAAATAGTCATCCATAATAAAAAATAAAATATTGATATATAAATTTTAAATTCAAAGTTAAAATTCAAATTTAAATAAAAAATAAATGTAAAATTCAAAGAAATCAATCTTTATAAAGTAAAGGTAATAGAGGATTTATTCAAAACAAAAATTAAAACTAATTTATAAAAAATAATTTGAAAAATTAATTTTTATAAATTTATTTAAATTATCGAAAGATATTATATAGTTAAAAAGTTTTTACAATGCTTTTAAAACAATTGGTACAGTTAATTTTATAAACAATAATGAAAACAATTGTTTCAATAAAATTTAAGATGACTACATAATTTTAATAGTCAAAAACACAACAAAGTTATTTTTATAATGCTTTGTAAACTTTCTAATGAAATTTTATCACACTGCGCTAGATGCTTTTAAATAAAGTTTTAAAACGCTATAAATTATCATAGAATATTAAATAAAATTTTTGTTTATTTTGAAAGTATTTTTTTTTTTATGATGAATGTTAATGTTATAAAACTATTTCTTAAATTAATTTTATGAAGAAAGAAAGAAAAAAAGTTTATTATCAATAAACTTTTTTATAAAACTCATAAAGTTAAGATAGTTAAAAAAACATAACAAGGTTTTTTTTCAGCGCATTATTGAAGTGTTAAAAAGCACGTTCAAACTTAAAAAAAAATCACATGTGCATCAGGTATCAAGTACAACCCAACGTCTTTCCTGATCAGAATGCTTAGAAGACTTCCAGATCTAACCATTTGCTAATTCCAAAAGGAAGCCTGTCATCAATAGATTCAATTTTTATCAAATGAGCAAAAAAATCTGAAAAGCATGAGAAGAGCCAAGGTGTTTAATGGTGCAAACCTGTAGTAGATAAACCTTTTCAAAGGCTTTTTTTAGTACAGGTTTGCAATACTAAATACCTAATATAATATAAAAAATATAAAATATTATCAGAGGATTTTTTTTATATGGATATCATTCGAGGATTTTTTTATATGAAATATCATTCGAGGATTTTTTTTATAGATTTTTAAACTAAGAGTTGTAGTCTTACAATATGTAGCATAAAAATAATAAACATTATATTATTAACCGTACTTTTGATTTTAATAATGGTTAAAGAAACTAAATTATTAAAAATCCTAAAAATGCATTAAACAAATAATAGTTATAATCTATTTTAACAATCACAAAAATATATTTTATTAATAACTATAATAAATTTTAATAATAAATTTATTATAGCTTTAATCTTTATTATTGATTAATATTGTGCACAGATTATTATTTATGTTGGAAACAATATTTTTGTGTACGATATTAACTAATGTTAATGATTACATTGGTATTATACATATAATTTGTTTTAATTAATCTGATAATGAATGTACATTATCAAATTAATCTGATATTGTACAAAGTAATAAAAAATAACGGTAAAAAAAAAAAAAACAACCTATTAAATATGTATGCGGTTATATACATTTATATTTTAATATAATACAATAAAAAGTGGATTATTTTTTTATAGAATACCTATGTATATTACAGCATACATATTTATTAGTTTTTTTTTTTTTTTTTGTTTGTTTTTTTTTATTGTTATTTTTAAAAATAAAACATAAACTTTTTTCAAATTTCTATATTATATAATATGCTCATATCATGAAAAATTAACAATATAAAAATTTTTTATACTGTAAAAAATAACAATATAAAAATTTTTTATATTGTAAAAAATAACAATATAAAAATTTTTTATATTGTTATTTTTTCATGATTTAAGCATATTATATAATATAGAAATTTGAAAAAAATTCATGTTTTATTTTTAAAAAAAGGACTTGAAAATTCAATAAAAACTTAAATAATTCAAATAGTGGAGCTGTTTCATGATGAATCCAATAATGATTAACCCAAAGAACAACAATAAATATCTATAATACTACAATAAAAAAGATATTATATATTTATATTTTTTTGCATAAAAGTAATTTTGTATTTGTTATTACTAAACATATCAGACGGTTCGCGCCAATTAGTATTCGATTACCGGTAATACTAAACACCGGTTTACCAGATTTTACCAAATTATCGGTATTGTGTTGGCACCGTACCGGTATTTAAATGTATGTAGTCACTTGTATGTATGTAGTCACATGTATGTAGTCACCAAGGAGTCACTTACCGTTCATAAATATAGGATAGTCTAAAAAATTGAGATTTATCTGAATTAAAGTTCACCAGCCACTGTGAACCCCATGCTGTAGCAGAAGTGAGATCCTTTTCAAGCTTAAATGCCCCCTCCAAGCAATCAAAGAGAGTTGGCTTCTTATCATGATAAGAATAAATGGTAGTATCATCAGCGAACAATGCCACCGTAGATATGAAAATATCTGGAAGATCGTTAATGTAAATTAAAAAGAGTATAGGGGCAAGGATTGAACCTTGAGGAACATTTGAGGTTACAGAATAAGAAGAAGAGTGGTGCCCATCAAGGACAATTTTTATACAACGATTGGAAATAAAGGATTCAATAATCTTAAAGATGTTTCCAGATACACCGTATGAAGAAAGCTTATGGAGAAGACCAGCATGCCAAACTTTTCCAAACGCTTTAGAAATGTCAAAAGCGATGGCCTTAACCCCTCCACCTTTATCTAATGCACGATAAAATCTATCGGTCATTACTGTTAGCAAATCAGTCGTAGAACGAGAAGATCGAAATCCATATTGATGATCAGATAGTAAGTTATTAGATTTAAGATGAGAGATGTTTGTTAATTAAAGGTTCAAAAACCTTGCTTAAGATAGGAAGAAGACTAATGGGACTGTAGTTAGATGAATCAGATCGCTCAGAACAGGGCCGTGGAGAGCTGGTACCGGGCCTGGGTTAATATCAAACTGACGGGCCCCCTCAGGGCTTAGGGCTTCAGACATATGAATAATACTACTTTTGATACAAATAATTTTATAATTTGACTATATACAGTATTTTATTTACAAGTATATTTTAAATACAATACAGTGAAAAATTATATATAATTTAACTACAACAAAATTAAAATATATAAAACCTGTAAGTTAGATTAAAACTTTCCTCGCTTTCCTACTGGCAAAATCAGCAATTACACTGTCAAAATTGATCTTTTTTGCTAAATAACACTCCATCGCTAAAATTCCCAAGCCAGAAACTCTACCTTGCGTCATTGTTGATCTTAGATCATTTTTTATAAGCGCCAGTCTGCTAAAAGACCGTTCAGCTTGTGCTACCGTAACTGGTAATGTACAAAAAATTCTCAGGCCAATACAAATGTTGGGGAAAAGACATATAAGTTTCAGGTCGTTGATTTTATTGAGAAGAAGAAAGGGGTCCAAATCATTTTTGATGTTAACATCATGGATAAATTTCAAATGCAAAAGCTCATCAATCAGCTCCATGGAAACATCATCCTTGTATTTATTCACAAAATCCTTACTCCTTCGGCGAATTTCTTCCTCTTCGTAATGATTATACTTCCAAAGAAAGTTAAAAGTTTCGTCAATTTCATATGCAGCTTCATATCGTCTACTGATATTCCCTATAATGCAGTCCAATAATATATAAAAAACGTTTTGTTTAAAATTATTTTCAGAATTTGATAAAGAAATTTCATCAGGTGTCTCATCAGCAAATCGCTTCCTAATTTTTCGTCTAGGTTCTGGAAGTTCTTGAGAAATGTTTAAGATGTTTGCAACTAATTTACTCTCCACCATAATAGAATCCCATTTATCTCGAAGAGTTTTTAATTCATCAATTAGTCGTTTGATGTTGGTCACTTCTACATCCAATGTAGCATTCCGTGCTTGCAAAACAAGATTGGTGTAATTGATAGCAGTAAGTACTTTGAACCATATAGCGGACATCAGAATGCATTCAAACGATTCCATATATGAAATAATCCCATTTACATCAGCACGATTTTCTATAGACAAATTTAGGTTCCTAATATCAGCTACTGATTTGATTATACAAAGAAGGTGGGTTGCGAATGGCTTAATGCAGTCCACTCTAACTGACCAGCGCGTTTAAGACATGCTATGAAAAGACGAATCAATATTTTTTTTTTTAAATTTTCCACCTTTGAGGACTGCTACTAAATATGTCATACAGTTTTTGCACTATCCCAAAGAAAGTTATTACTTGAGGACAACATTCAGCAGCTTGTGGACCGCATAAATTCAGACTATGACAAGCACAGGGAGAGTAAGTAGCAAGTGGATAATGTTGAAGAATTCGAGCTTGTGCTCCCTTGACTGAACCTTTCATATTACTCCCATTGTCGTATCCTTGTCCACGACAGCACATCAGTGGTATTTTATGTTTCTGAAGAGTAGAAGTAATTATATTTGCAATATCTTTACCAGCTTTTTTATTGCAATCTACAAATTCCAGAAACCTCTCTTTTACCTCATATTTTCCTGTCAATTTGTCCTGTAAGACGTATCTTAAAATAAAAACATTTTGCTCAATATGAGCTGTATCAGGCGTTGCATCCACAATCATTGAAAAATATTTGCATTTCTCCCTCTCATCTAATATCACATCTGTGACTTTATCTGCACAGCACTGAATAAACTCATTCTGGATATCATTTGACAAATAATGTGTTTGCATTCGCTTATGGCTCTGTTGAGAAGCTTTTACTTTTTCGAGATGATCATGTAGAATGGAATCGTAATGACCAATGAGTTCCATAATTCCCAAAAAATTCCCATTTTTGGGGTCACCAATTAGATGACTATCGCCTCTAAATGCAAGACCTCTTTCACCCAAAAACAAGATAACATCTAATACTCTACGAAGTATTTGCCTCCATCTTTCCACTTCTGTCTTTATATTATCATTTAGTAGAAAATTGATAGTTGTATTATTTCTGAGGTTT